TTCTCCTCTTGGAGCTGACAGGGTCCGATGTCCAACCTCCTCCTGAGACCCACTTCCTGGTTCTCCATCAAAGGGCTGCTGCTGACTGGCACTCCCCTGAGAAAAACTGCAAAGCTCCTGGCCTCCCTGATCTGTGTGGGAGTGTGATCCCCACTCTCATTCACAGGGTTTTAGTAAGGGTACTTCTGGGAGGCTTCTCTGCTCCCGGAACTGGGTCTGGGCCTGGGCCTGCCATCTGCAGGTGAGCAGCACTCACAGTACAGCCCCATGCTTTCTTAACATGTAAAGTGGTAAGAGTTTGCCGACTATGGCATTCTTTAGAAAACTCTTAATTTAAGGGAAAAAAATTAATCTGACCAATCTCCAATGATAATAGAATGGAACATCATTTGGAGCAAAATTTAAAATAAGATCTAAATCCTAAGTGCAGTCAGATACCGTTACACTAATCTTAACCAAATCAAAGGAAGCCCTTCTTGGGAGTTTAGGTCACCTGCTGTTACTCTGAGAGCACCAGTACCCCGTTCTACCAGTCGTCATCCAAATAATATTTCTGAATATTTCTGCTGCAGTTTTGACTGTCTTAGTGAAAGTGTATTAGTGATTATTCTCTGCTACCCCTAAGAAGTGACTCTAAGGCCATTTTCCCAGACGCCATTGGCTCTGCTTCCTTTTCCCTATCCTCTCAGAAGTGAGATGCAGCAGGCAAGTCCAACACGTCCGTGTACTGCCTCTTACCCAGTCCGGAGAGTTCTCCCACCTGACAGCCTCTCTCCAGGTCTCTCAGGTTTGAATTAGGATCTGTCTAAAAGCCTAATGTGCTCAGAATACCTAGTACAGAGATGGCAAACAGATTTTGTGTTGTTCATTAACTCTGACTGATTGGAAGTGGCTTCTTAGAGCACTGATCAATTAGCAAAGACTGTCATGCATGTGTGTATATAAATGTGTGTGTGTGTGTGTGTGTGTGTGTGTGTGTGTGTGTGTGTGTGTAGGGGGGATTCATGTCAGGTACCTGCCATCATCGACTCTAGGTGTTCATTAACTCTTTCCATAACTGGCTGTCACATTTACATCCTAGATTCTTCACCGTGGAATATTTTCCTGTGGTAGCTGAGCACCAGGAAACCTTAGCTAAAGCATTTGTAAATTTAAAAACACTCTTAGACTCTGTCTAGGTTTTTGCTCAGGGTGCGGTAGTCCGCTTTAATGTAGGGCATGATGAGCTCTGACATCCCAGCTAAAGCATGTTAGATGGCGACGGGACAGTCCAGCTCTGGACAACGCTCACTGGGTACTGCCAGACATGGTATGCAAGCCTCGTTCAGCAGCCCTAGATATGAGATGACAACTGAAGGTGCCAGAGCTCAGGGCTGAGACCCTTGGGATACCGGCTGTGGTGTGTGGCGAAGGCCATCTCTTGTGGCCCTAACTGACCCAGCTTTCACTGGGCTCTTGAAAACACAGGGTCATTCATAATTCCTTCTGCAGAGTGGAACTCCACAGAAATGTGGCAATTTGACCTAGTGCACGTGTGATCAGAGAAGGCACAGAGTATCTGCATGGGGATGAGGATGGAAGACCTGGAAGGATGGAAGCCTCAACAGAAAACTGACTTCTCAAGTATAACTTTCGAGGCCTGAAGCCGAGGGAACACTCTCCTCTCATTCAACCCACACACCCATTACAGATGCTTTTGAAGCCCCCTTCCTTGTGAAGATCCAAGATTCCAATGATCTTTTGTCACCTATTGTATCAAATCTACCACTGGATGACAAGATGAGGAGGGAAAAAAGCTGAACCATTCTGAGTGACAGTTCTGATCGAAATCTTGGATTTCTTGTCCGATGGGGAGGTATGAGGGCTGTTACACCCAATAGCCCTTGATGGAAGGTGAGAGAGGTGCGGTGTATGGTGGAGTAGTTAAGCCCACTGGCTTTAGAAGTGCAGACATGGGCTTAACTTCCGGACCTGGTGTGTGCCAGCTGTGTAACTTCAGGCAAATTACTAAAACCTCTCTGGCCCCAGTTTCTCCGTCCGTAAAATGGGAGGATAACCTACACAGAAGGTGGTTGTGGGATTAAATGAGGTAAGCCGCAAAAGAGGCTTAGGTCCCAGAATGGCCCATACCAAGTGTTCCCTCTGGGGCACTGCCGTTATTGATAGAAAGCTGCTCTAGAGCTGGTGTGGGTCACAGAACTGAACTCATGAGTTTTGCAGCTCCCTGGATGAGTAGGAAGGTGGTACACGAAACAATGATTTCCTTGGCCACTATTAGCACGTACGTGTTTGCTTGGCACTGGCACCAACCTCAACAAGGCCGAATCCAAATGTTTCACCTTCCTTTCCCAAAATGCTCCTCCTACATGTCCCCCATCTCCGTCCTCAATTTTAAACCTTGGTTTCCCTCTTTTACATCCCAAACGCACACCATGGGAAAACCTCTCTGCCTGGTTTACCACACTGCCAACTAAGGGGTCTTCTTGCATCCACACTTGCCCACTTCTGTTTACTCTCATATTTAAAACCATCTAATAGTTTCCAATCACACTCAGGTTAGAAGCCAGCATGATCTTCAAGATCTGCCCTGTGTCATCTCTGATTCATCTCGCTACCCCTACCTTGACTACGCCCCTCCAGTCACAGTGACCTGCTTACAGCTCCCTGAACTTGCCAGGCAACCTCCTGCCTCAGGCCCTGAGGCCCTGTGCTCCCTCTGCTGGAAGCTCTTTCCCAGATGCCCATATGGCTTGTTCCTTTACCTCCTCCCTTACTCAAATGTCACTTTCTCAGGGAGGCCTTTCTCAACTATTCTATTTTAAATTGTCCCCTGTGGTAGGCTGCATAATGGCCCTTAAAGATATCCGTGTCCTAATTCCAGGAACCTGTGAATGTTATTTAATATACCAAAGGGGATTTTGCAGATGTGATTAAGTTAAGGATCTGGAGATAGGAAGATTAGCCCGGATTATCTGGGCGGAAACAGAGGCAGAGGGAGATTTAACTACTTATGTGGGGAGAAGGCAATGTGACAATGGAAGCAGAGATCGGAATGATGCAGCTACAAGTCAAGGAATATCAGTAGCCTCTAGAAACTAGAAGAGGCATGGAACAGATTTTCCCCATGAGCTTCCGAAAGGAACCTGCCTTGCTGACATTTTGACTTTAGCCCAGTGAGACTGATTTGAAAGTTGAGGTCTCTGGAACTATCTAAGAGAGTAAACTTGTGCTAAGTCACGGAGTTTGTGATAGTTTGTTATAGCAGCCATAGGAAACTAATACACACCCATATGCATACATACCCACTCCCTATTCTCCCTCCTGCCTTATTTTCTCCTCCAGATGTAGCTGACATCCTATAATTTACTTGTTAGGTTCATCTATCTCCTTACGTAGGGTGTCAGTACCATAGGAACAGGAGGCCTTGTCTGTTTTGTTCTCTAATGGATCCCCACTGCTGGCATCAGGAACTGCTTTATGTGGAATGAATGGGCCAATATTAGTGTGAACTCTGCCCCAAAGAGGGGTGGCCCCATCTGTTGCTGTGGCCCAGGTTCTTTCAGGACATCGCCGGGCCAGCCCATCCCAATCTACACAGGAGTCCCTCCTTCTGCCAAGGCTTCCCTCCTTCCTGTCTCTCTAGAAGCCTGGAACGCTGGGCGGTGGTGAGTGGCACACATGAATGGTGCATGTGAGCTGGGGTGTGGCGTGCAGCTCTGGTGACGGGCAGGCCCATCTGCCTGCAACACAGGGGAGGCACTGCAGTGTGGAGGTCTGGCCTGAGCACCCTGCTCGGGGACTGTAGCATCCCCAGTCTCAGCTTTCTCATGTGTTAACTGGAATAACGCCATGACTCCATCAAAAGGTATGGCCAAAGCTAAGTGAAATAAGTGGTCAATAATCCTCTCTCATTTTAGCGAGATTGTGCTTATTCTTATTTGGTGGCCAGCTGTGTACTGCTTCCATTTCAGAGAAGCAGAGGGGCCTGGGCTTGTCCTTGTGGTGCTCAGGATAGGTGGCAGGTTGCATGCAGCCCATTGAGTGGCTCTGGGGCCTGTCTTGGATCTATTGTCCCAGGAATTCTGGCCTAAAGGGATACTGACCCAGAACTCCAGGAGAGCCGGCTGCCTTGTGCTGGTAACCATGCCGACAGGCTTTTCCTAAACCTGTTTCAGAGAGCAGTTCCCCAAGGCTCCAAAACCTCTAGGGCCTCCAGAAGACTCTTGCTTCCAGGGAGCCACCCCTGTCCCCTGGATGCCATCAGATAATCTTCTTACAGGTTAGGACAACAATGCTGAGAGCATTGGTGGTGAAATCTTTAGGCCTAGCTTTTGGGAGCTCTCAGACACCAGGCCCTGGGTCTTCAATGTGGAGCAGAAAACCGAGCAGGGGTGGAGGGATCTCTACCCTGGCCCAGTCCCCAGCCACAGCAGTGGAGCTCTCCTGCTCCACATGAGCCGCAGGGGGAGGCTGGTTTCCAGGGGGCTGTGGAAGCAGCGCTGTGTGAAGGTTAACAGCTGAGGCCTTGTGGTGGTTGTGGGGAGGTCAACTGCTCAGCTCTGAATCTTGCTGGTCATTCGATCATGGACACATGACAACCTTTCCAAGCCTCAGTTTACTCATCTGTAAAATGAGGATTCTAGGAGTACCAATCAAACAGGATTGTTGTGAAGTTTAATTTACATGAGAACAATCATGTAAATGGCTTGGCAGAATGCCTGGCACATGGTTAGTGCTCAATAAATGTTATATATATTGTGATGGCAATGAGGGTGAGGATGATGACACCAGTGGGTTCTGTTACCCAAAGACTTTATTTCTCATCCCACGATACCATGCAGCCTCTCACTGCTTCCTGTGGGATGTGAGAAGAGGGAAAGGAGGTTCAACACCTATGGGGCAGAGAGGACACTGCTCCCCATAAGCCTGTGCTCTGCAGTCGGCTGTCTCTGGCAAACAGAAGCCAGAGTACAGGTCATGGCTAGTTGCGAATCCCTTACCTTGGTTGTCATAGGAAGTGATGACCTGGGTCTGCTGAGGGTGCTGCTTCTCCGCCAGGTGTCCTATTTAAGAAAGACAGAGAGACCTGCAGTGACCACTGGGATCACAGTGGAATTTCCCCCGGCAGAGCTGGGAGCTGTGTATGTCTGCAAGAAAGGCAGGCTGATGGGCGCCGAGCTCATCCCAGGCCTGGCTTTAACATATGCACACTTGTGTGCACAACCCACAGCATGCACACACAGGAATTAGCATAGTGATACTTGAGCGCAGAGGCCAATGACTGGGAGCGCTCTGCACGCACCCTCATGCCTCTCAGCAGGTGTCAGCACAGGCTGGGTTTCTTCACAAGAAGCCAGGGACACCTCCATGGTTAAGTAACCACAACTCCGGACTTCGGTGTCACCAGGCACAATCCCGAAAGTGCATGGGTATGCCTGACATTCCTACCTTTGTGTGGAGTGGCCTGAGGGGTTCCTGTCCTGATTTTACAGCTGGGAGGCCCACAGCTTGGACTGGTAACTTTTTGCCAGATCCTGTGGTCAGGAAGGGTCAGACCTAGGACTTGAACCCCAAGTCTCCTGACTCCTAGTTCTGCCTCTTGTCTCCATCTGAGAAGAATGGGAGCAGCTTGCCTCCTGCTTCTAGCCTAGGACTTGGGGTAACTTGCAGTTTGGTTCAGTTTTACATTTGCAGGGCACCCACTATATGAAAGCTTTCTCCACCAATTAGAGTTATTTACGTCCCTGGGACACAGAGCTTCCCCGAGCCTGGTGGGGTCAGGCTGTTGTGTAGAGATGCCCCATTCCTACTGTAGGCCATGAGTGGGAGCCCACAGGCTTAGCTGCCCCTCCTACCAGAAATATCACCTTTCCTACATCTCTCCCTTTATAGCTGCTGCAATGAGCTGGTCTTGCTGAGGTTACCTT